AACGGGGAGTTAGCTGTCGGTGGTAAAACGGTTTTGGGAACGGGGTTAGAGGGCGTAGGTAGATATAAGTGAGGTGAGGTGAGGTGAGGTGAGATGAGGTGGTAGTGGTGGTGGTGATGGTGGTGGTGGGCCTCACTTGTTGCAATCATCAAACGAAACAGTCATCGAACAGGTTGTTGTTCCGCTGGTTAGCCACGTTTTACGTATATTTGACGCGGATTCCCGATCAACTCTCTCTCTCTCTCTCTCTTTCTCTTTTTCATTTTAGAGATGGGAAACATTTTCTCTCTTTCTCTCTTTTTCACTCATTCACATTCTCTCTTTCTATCTATCTATCTCTTTCTATCTGTAGTCATAACTGAATAAACGAGAATCGTGTTGCTTTATTGCGGTTGACTACTACCAAAATAAATTTATTGTTCTTTTTATTTCGAAAATTTATTTTTTTATATTATATTATTTTATTATATTCGTTTATTTGAGTTATTTATGTAATGTATATATTTTAGGATGAATCAAAAAATATATATATATATATATAAATTAGTGGGTGTAAAGTAATTTTATTTGAGTTCAAATCTAAAATTGTGTTATCTGAAGTAAGATAGTAAATGAATTCATTTTTCGTTCATTCTGATATTTGTTTGTATTTTCATTTTTTTTTTTTTTAGATAATTGTATAAAGGGAGAGTAAAGATATGTTTGGTCAAATTTTGTAGATTGTAATATTTTTGTGGGTTTATGTAAAGTAACCCTTATAATATTCTTTTAATTATGTAGGTCTTTTAGAATACTATACTATATATGGTGTAATATAAAAATTTAGATAAATTATATTTTATATCCTTAATTCCTACAAAACTATATATATATATATATATATATATATATATATATATATATATATATATACTTTTATTTGATTTTATTTTGCATTTTATGGTAGATAAAATTTCTCATTTACGAGAATATACACGAGATAATATCGTTATGTAAAATAACCTTATAAAATCCAAATATCTCTCACCCTCTCCATCTCCCTCTCACTCTTACACTCTTTCTCACTTTCATTCCCTCTCTCTCCCTTTCTTTGTTCGTTATCAAAGGAATCGTTTATCTCTAACAATTTAACTTTATTTATGAGATATATATATATATTTACATTCTTACACCTTTTAATCCCATCATTTAGATTCCTTTTTGTCAAAGATCCTATAACAACAACAATAATAATAACCCATAACCCATAACCAACAAAACAACCAACACATTTATGAAAATATTGAATCCTAAGTTTCTATTTAATATCTCTTTTATTCGTCATCAAAGGAAAGTTGGTGTAAAAGGTTGGAGAAGAAGGTATACCTTCTTCCATTCTTTCTCATTCGTTGCTTGAGTTGAGTTGAGTTGAGTTGGTTTGGTTTGGTTTGGTTGAGGTAAAATCACGGATAGAAAGAGAAGAAGAAAAAGAAGAAGAAGAAGCAGAGAAGATTCTTTACAAAGCCGATCGACGTCTGGATGTTCAAGGGTCAGGTACAACGTAATCATTACTGTCATCGGAAAGCTCCAATCCTTTTCCCTTCGTAATTTCAGTCGGCAAAAGTACCGACTTTGGTATAGGAAACTCTGAAGAGTCTCCTTCCCTCTCTCTCTTTCTCACTCTCTGCTGGACTCTGACTGAGAATTCTTGGTGTTGGTTGATGTACCTGGTGAAGGGAGTGGGGGGAATGGTGGAATGGGTCTCATTAAGGACGCCTTCATAGCCCTTCATCCTTTCTTCTTCTTCTTCTTCTTCTTCTTTCTGTTCTTCTTTTGGTTTTTATTTTTCTTCATCTTCTTCTTCTTCTTCTATCATGCGACTATCCTGACTATCCCTATTTCCCTTCCTCCCCCGAGCCCTCCTCCTCACCTTTCTATGTTACCTTAGACGTGAAGCAGTTCGTCTTTTATACCTGGGGTATAACACAAGCTACCCAACCTTAAAAACCAACCATACCAGAGAGATCTTTCAGCATCTCTGATCTCTCACCTATTTCTCTTTTTCTAAAAGGTTTCTTTATATTCGTATTGTATGTATATATAACTTACAGTAATCTTTTTTTTTGTATGTGTGTATGTGAGAGTATGTTTGTGTGTGGATGTGTTTGTGTGTAAATCTTAGGTCGACCCAAAGGTAATTGACTGTGGTCGTTCTAGTCCGAACTTAATTTCGTCACGAATGATCAGAAATCTTTACGATTAGTTTCTTTTTCTTTTTTCTTTGTGTTTTTTTTTTTTTGGTTGGGTTTATTTCTTTTTTTGTTTTTTTTTTAAAGGTTAGATGATTTAGAATAATTATTTTGAAAGAGAAAGAGAGAGAGAGAGAGTCGTTTTTATTTTATTTGATGATATTAAGTTTGGGAATAATTTTAATATAGTTGTATATATATATATAATAATTAATTATTATATATAAATGCAATAGTTAATTTTATTGTAGAAATATTTGATCGTTTCGAAGATTACATTATTTTTATTTTTATATAATGTTTTTCAAATAATATATAATAATTATATATATATATATAATATTATTCAAATAATAATTAATTTTATCGTAGAAATATTTGATGTTTTGACGATTACTTTATTTATTTTTTTTTTTATTTTCTTTTTAAATAATATATAATAATTAATATTCAAATAATATATAATGTTTTTTAAATAATATATAATAATTAATATTCACAAATATTATATAATATTATTTAAATAATAACTAATTTCATCGTAGAAATATTAGATGTTTGCAAAATTAATTTATTTTTATTTTATTTTCATTTTTTTTCTATTTTTCTTAAATAATATATAATAATTAAATATTCAAATAATATATATAATAATATTATATAATAATATTATATATATATATATATATATATATATATATATATATATAATATTATTTAAATAATAATAATTGTTGTTGTAAAAGAATTTAAATATATGTATATATGTATATAAAACATGAAAAATATAAAATAATTCGTTAGTATACACGAGCACACGTGTACGTATTCTATACACATATATATAGTTATATAACACTAAAAAGAACCATATTCTTACCTCAGAGAGGTTATTGATTGAAATTGTAAACAATTAGATAAGAAGGAAGTTAACGTACGTATGTACGTTGTTGTTATTATTCGAATAAACAGTAGTAATGTGTCCGTCATAGAAGCAACACGTGCTTACCGGTTTTATTCAACAAATTATAGTAGGTTTATTTTAATCCATTTAAAATTAATAATTATTATAAATTGTTATATATATATATATATATCATGCTAATATTATTTTACATTTATCCATAAGTAGTATTACTTACAGCTATTTCTTTTTTGTAAACGAATTTTTTATTAATATTGAATTAATTTTAATAATAGAAAATTAATATGAAAACAATTTTCTATTTTGTATTTATCGATAAACTAATACCTATAGTGTTTTTTTCTTTTTTAAATGAATTTTCTATTACTTCTATTAATTCTATTAATTCTATTAATTCTGTTAATTAATTCTATTAATATAAAATAAATATTAAAACAATTTTGTATTTCACATTTATCGATAAAGTAATACCTATAGTTTTCTTTTTCTTTAAACAAATTTTTTTTATTAATATTATATTAATTCTATTATTATAAAATTAAATATTAATACAATTTTCTATTTTACATTTATTTATAAACTAATACCTATAGTTTTCTTTTTCTTTTTTAAACGAATTTTCTATTACTTCTATTAACTCTATTAATTCTATTAATTCTATTAATTCTGTTAATTAATTCTATTAATATAAAATTAAATATGTGAAAACAATTTTCTATTTTACATTTATCAATAAACCAATACCTATAGCTTTATTTTTTTTTAAAGACACCAAACTTGTTATTATTGTTCAAATCAAACTTGCAAGTTTGAAACAAAAAAATAAAAAAACATTATCCAACATTAATCTCACAAAACTAGAATCGTTGAATTGATTATTTTTCATAAAAAGAATTTTATTTTTCAAAAAATAAAATCACTCATTCGATTATTTTTCAATATTTTCCTTCAACAACAACAAAAAATAAATAAATAAATTAATAAAAATGTTGATAAAGATAAATTAATCGATTTATTCTTCGCGATACTTCAAGAGATCTTCAATTTAACGGTGAGAAAGTTGGATAACGAATAAGATAAAAATACACAGGGATAAAAAAAGAAAAAGAGAAAGAGAAAGATAACGATAAAAAGCTATTGTCGTTTGACGTTACCACCAATTTGTGTGTTTTTACATTGGAAGGGGGTGTAGTGGTGGTGGTGGTGGTGGTGGTAGTGGTAAGGGGGTAAAACTGAGTAGGAAGGTAGGACTCGAGGGATATCTTCTCGAGTATATACCCTCTTGCTAGGTTGAAGTAAACGAGAAAGAAATAAAGAAATAAATAAAGAGGTGACAAAGGGGTGAAAACGTATAACCAAGTATACAGTGAGGGGGAGGGTAAGGGTGAAAGGGGAGGATATTATATCTGTCGGTGTCGTAAACGAGCCACAACAAAAAAAAAAAAAAACATACCTACATATACATTTGAATTGATCTAAAAAAAAAAAAAACAACAAATAATAAAAAATAAAGGAAAAAAGAAAAAATATCAAATGAGATAGGGGTGAATGGTGGTGGTGAAGAAGAAGAAGAAGAAAAATAAAAAAAAATAAAAAAATAAACAAAGAAATAAAAAATAAAAATCTTTTTTATACAGGTAGATTCGTATAAATTTGATCGTTTCTTCTTTTCAACCCTTATTCTTTTTCTTTCTCACTCACTCACCCTCACTCTATCTATCTATCTATATATATATATATTTCGCTGTTGAACGTAATCGTATTGTCTTGTATGATAATCGAATTCTCACCTTTCAATTTTCTTTCTACAACTTTTTTTTTTTCTTGTTTTTTGCTTTTTATTCCAGGGCGGCGGAGGAAGCGGCGGGGCTGCGGGAGGGCTGAAATTCACGGTGGCCGACACTTGTGAAAGGATCAAAGAGGAATTCAATTTCATCCAGCAACAGTACCATTCGTGAGTGTTCTCTCTCTCTCTCTCTCTCTCTCTCTCTCTCACTTTTTATATTTTTTTTTCTCTTTTTTTCTCTTTTTATTTTTCTCTTTCTCTTTATTCTCCCTTTTCCCCCCCCCCACTTTTTCTTCTATTTTCCTGGTTCTTTCTCGTTGTCGGACGATTCTCCCCCCTCCTCCTTCTCCTCCTCCTCTTCCTCGTCCTCCTTCTTTTTCTCTTGAAACTACGAACCATCCACCCCCTGACTCACTCAACCACCCAAACCCACCACCCCCCCTCCCCTATCCATACCCAACTCGATGTTTCTCGAAGTTTCTACGTTTATCGACGCGCTCGATGTTTCTTTTCTCTTACGCTTTTTTACCCTTTTACTACCCCTTCATCCCCTACTTCTACCTACTACCCCTTTTACTTTTCTTTCTTTTTGTTTGTTTGTTTTTGGTTTTTTTTTTTTTTTGTTCTTTTAGTTCCTTTTTTCGAAAATCAAACCTTACGAGAGTTGAATACTATCGGTGGCACGCATTCGATCTCTCCACGTATCCTCTTTTATCTTTTTATCTTTTTATCTTTTTATCTTTTTATCTTGTTTTTTATTTTCGTTCTTTCTATTTCTTTCTCTATACTCATTGTTTTTAAACCCTTCTTTTTTTTTTTTCTTTTTATTAACAAATCTCTTTTTCTATTTCTCTCTATCTTTCCTTGTTAAATTAAATTTATTTGTTTTTTCTTATTTTCTTTTTCTTTTTTTTT